TAAAAACTCAGATATTTTACCCATACAGTTAAACTATAATAAGGAGCTTAGCCCAATAAAACTCGACTAAGAAAGAAACATTATAGTATGAAAATGAAATAAAATCTTCACTGGATCATGTTTGTCGCCTGAAAACGATAGTGTAGACTATTTTCCACCTTGTGGTCCTCTACCATTATCCCATTAAACTAAAACCCCATTTTTCAGTTATTTTTTTCACCATTATTTAAGGAAAGGTTGGGACTTTGATTAGAAAGTTAGGGGTAGCAAATGGGCCAAGAAGCTCCTCTGCTCGACTCGTTAAAGTTCGACCCATGGACGACTCAGGCTCATTTCGAGACGAGCTGAGCGAGAGATTCACTCGACTCTTGCTCGGCTCATCGAGCTCGCAATCAACTCATGGGCTTGCTCAAGAGCCTAAAGTTCATGGGCTCGTGGAATAGTAAAAAAAAAAAAAAAAAAAAAAATAATATAAATTTATTTACTTGACTTGTGGGCCGAGCCTTTGAAGCTTGATCTCGACTTGTCACTTTAACGAGTTGAACTCATGTATAGGTGGTCGACTCGACCCATTACCAGATAAAAGGTTTTTATTTATTTAAATATTTATTCTATTTTTAGTATGACTGACAAGTCCTTAATATCTGCACAATTTTCAGCTAAGGTTCATGTAATTTCTGATTAACATGCTCACTGGATCCAAAGAGCGTTGCAGGCACAGTCTAGCTAGTAAGCCAAATGGAATGCGTGCTGAGAACGTTCTCCTTAAGAATGTGATCCTGGCATTTTCTGGTATTTCTCTAACTTTAAGGTACCAAACACCCCCATTTTACGTTGTATTTATGACTCGTTAGTTATAACTTTTAACGGTTCCTAGATTGAAATGCTAGAATAAATGGGCTTGAAGAATAAAAATTTCTTTTGCTTAACTCGGAAATAAAATAAGTGAAAATTAATTTCAATTTTAATCCTATCAAGCCCCATTTCTTAATACTCATTCTTTTTTTCAAATTCATTTTCAACCATATATTTCGTGATATTCATAATTTTTATCGACTTTTCAATTATACATTTTAACATTTGCTATCCAAATCAAATAACAGCTTAATATTCTTTTAAATTAGGCTATTTAGCTACAAATGTCAAATATTAGAATCTTTGATATTGTACTCAAGAGTTCTTCGGAGAATATCAAGTCGGTATACCCATCATTGCTATACTAGTTTGATTTTGATTCCTTAATCAAATCCTACTCTTGATTTGATCTGTCATCATGATCGAGCTAATAAACAACAAAAAACCGTTATTTCAAATGTTCCTCTCAATGAAGGGAAGAATGAAAAAAAAAATTATAAAAATTATTCATTGGAAAAAATATTTATTTTGTTTAGGTAGTATATTGTAATACCCCGAACTTCACGTTCTACATTTGACCAATATGATTCATGCATTTCATGCTAATTACATTGTCATTTGCATCAACTTCCTAATTACTTTCTCTTAAAAATGTGTGTTTGATCATCGAGGCTTTAAAATCTTTATATAGTGATGATCTTTGACTCCTTGACCTAAGTAGTGAATTTAACATTGAGCTATGATAGAAAATTAGGTTAACTACATGTTGAAGATTAGCTTGGTAAGTAATGGAAATCGAAAAGGTCAGAAATTAGTATCGACAAAAGTTCAAGCTTTCTATTCGGTTGTTCGAGGTCACGTTAAACCCTAGATAGGTAATTGACATATTTGGGACATGAGACATAAAG